CCCGATTCTATTGCACGCAAAGTAAGTGCAGCCTCTCCTGGCAGAGCCAACAGGCTCTTCCTTCGGCTTCTCGCCCGCCACCAGACGAGCGATCCCCTCCTTCTGGTCGGGGGACCTTCGTCTCGGCTCGGATTGCTGATGCCCGGCCAACTGGCTCATCCCTGCGCCAGGCTCAGGTCGGGCATGTCCTCCTACAGGCGGACTTTGGGCGAAAAATCAAACACCCCCCCCCCAAACAAATATGTTCAAACATGCTTAAAAAGAGGTCGAAACATCGTCCCCAGACTATTGTTCTACTATTTTTGAAGTTGCTTCCTGTAGAGGGACACGCCCGACGTAAGCCTGGTCATCACCCCCCTCCTGGCCGCCCCCGACACTGCCTTGGGCCGCGTCGGATCTCCGGGCACAGGAGAGGCCCGACCACCGCAAGAAACCTTCCACAAGAAGCCCAGCCCTGAGACCCCAGGAGGTCCACTGATTTTTGGTCTGGGGGCGTCACGCTTGCCATCGTAGAAGCATCGAAACCCAAGACACCCAGGGCACCCTGGAGGCAAGCAGGGTGCTGCTTACAAGGCCCACCATCCTGCTGCTCTGGCAGGGCCGGCCCGAGCAGGGGGCGACCCGAGGAGGAGGAGGAGGAGGAGGAGGAGGAGGAGGAGGAGGAGGAGAGGAGGAGGAGATGGAGGAGGAGGAGGAGGAGGAGGAGGAGGAGGAGGAGGAGGAGGAGGGAGGAGGAGGAGGAGGAGGAGGAGGAGGAGGAGGAGGAGGGAGGAGGAGGAGGAGGAGGAGGAGGAGGAGGAGGAGGAGGAGGAGGACGGGTCGCCTGAGCCCTCCGCAGACACCCTCCACGCCCGCCGTCCTGCTGCTCCGGCAGGGCCGGCCCGAGCAGAGCCAGAGCTCTGCCCCTCTCCGGCGCGCCGCCCGGGCCTGGCCCGCGGCGGGGGGGCACCGCCCCGTCTGGAGGCAGCCTGAGATCCACAGCGGGTGCTTGTCCACATTCTTTGGTCGGCGGGGCGAGAGCGAACCTCTTCCGCTAAAAGCTAGGCGGGCTGCGCACAGCTTGAATGAGGGAGACAGGGCACAGGCAAGCGGGGCCTCAGGCGGCCGGAGTGGGCGGGGCCCGGGGTGCAGGCGGTGCCGAAGAGCTTGCACAGGAACAGGTACGCCGCGGACAGGGACCGGATGGGGTGCTTGTCCACATGAAGGAACCCAAACCCGAAGGGCAGCCAGAGATCCACCACGAGTAATGTCCCAAACCTGTTTGAATACATAATGCCTGGAGGCAGCCTGAGATCTGCAGCGGGTCGCCGCTCGGGAGGCAGCTGCTCTGGAGGCAGCCTGAGATCCACAACGCGTAGTGTCCAAAACCTGTTGAAAAAAATAATGCCACCCCCCAGATCCCGACTGCCGTGAATTCGCCGCCGAAGAACTATCTTTGAAACTGCCCCCCCCGGAAGATGTTCCACGGGGTCCTGCTCTGGTTGACCGCGCGAGGCCGTGCCCCGTGGGGAGGCTGTCAGCGGCGACCCGCACGGGTTCGTCTGCGGGCCCCGGCGGGGCGGCACCACCACGGGTGTCTGTCTAGAGGTGCACGTCGGTCCTTAGGCCCCACTTCGCGTGGTCGCCGACGTGGCCAGAAATCTGGTCGGAGGTATTTACACAATCGGAGGGGGGGGGGGGGGGGGGGGGGCATTCTCGATAGCGGCATGTCCGCATGGCCAAACTGGGGGTGCATCCCCGAGTTTCCCGCCTGTTCTGTCCAAAGCCTGTCAACAAAAATGATGACCCCCCCCCTCCCCCCTCCCCCGCACCCCCGATCCCGAATGCCATGAATTCGCCGCCGAATAACTATGTTTTAAACTGTCCCCCTGGAAAATATTCCACGGTGACCGAACGATGCGATTGATAAATGCACACATGCACATGTATGTTTGTATACATATGTGCATACACACGCACTCACGCGCTTGCATTGGCATATGCGCATGAACTGTATGCGCGCAGATGTGCAGCCTACTTCGGTCGACTAGTAGGTACTTTACGTCTTACTGGGACACTGTACGTACGTGCGCGCGCGACTTCGCGCGCGTGCGCATGGTGGCGTCCAGTTCTCGCGCGCGGCGTGAGGCTGAATGGCCGTATGTTGGCTCCCCGAATCCCAAATCCCACCAGCCCTCTGGGCGTCGGTGGTTTAACGAGTTTCCTCTTCCACCCCTCCCTCTTCCCCTTCGGGGAGGGGTTTACCCCTCCCCCTACCCCCTCCCCACTGACCTGGACAGGAGGGGCGGGGAGCGGTCAGAGCGTCCAAAACGGCCTCGGCGAGGAAGCCAAAAACATTGATTTTACTATGGTTTTGGCCCCATTTTGGCCTTCTCAGGGGGCAACGCTAATTAAGGCTCCCCTCTTCTTTGATCGATTTCCTCCACGATGGCCGCAAGAGGCCCCCAGGATGCCCCAAGAGGCCGCAGGATGGCCCCAAGATGGCCCCAAGAGGCCCCCCAAGAGGCCCCCAGGAGGCCCCCAAAGACCCCCAAGCCCCAAGATGGCCCCAAGAGGCCCCAAGAGGCCCCCAGGAGGCCCCAAAGAGGATCCCGAACGGCCCACAGAGGCCCCCCCGAGGCACCCAAGACGCCGAAAAGCCCCTCAGGACGACCCTCTACTCGCCTGGGCGTCGTTTCTGGACGGGCTGGTGGGGATACGCGAAGCCTCTAGAATTTACAATTAGTTTCTCTCAAGCTGTTTCGGGGGTGGCACGTGTCACGCGTTGTGCTTGTGAGACTGAATGGCCTTATGTTGGCCCCAGAATCCTAAGATTACCATTGGTTTTCTCTCACGGTTTCGGGGGTGACACGTGTCGCCCGTTTTTTCTTGTGTTGTGAAAATGGCTGTATGTTGGCCCCCAGGCTCCCAAATTTACAGCTGTTTTTTCTCAGACGGTTTCGGGGGGACACGTGTCACTGGTTGTTTTGGTAAGGCTGACTGGCCTTATGTGGACTCCCAAACTCCCAAATTTACAATTGGTTTTTCTCACGCGGTTTCAGGGGTGGCCCGTGTCACCTCTGGCTTTTGTGAGGCTGAATGGCCTTATGCTGGTTCAGAGAATCCCGAATTTACAATTGGTTTTTTCACACGGTTTCGGGTGTGACACGTGTCACCCGCTGTTTTTTTGTGAAGTTGAGCGGCCTCCCAGAATCCCAGAACTACAATTGGCTTTTATCATTTCGAGGGTGACACGTGTCGCCCGTTTTTGTGGTGATGTTGAATTGCTTTATGTTGGGCGCGGAGCGCCAAGGCGGTCGCGGGGACGTCCCCGGCGGTCCGGTTTGCCCCGCCTTCCGGTTGTTTTCTAGATGTGCACTACAGCGCTGGGAATAACTACTTTTTAACTGTCCCCCCAGATTGATCACTTACACCGTTGTGAAACATTATATGTCGATCCTTAAGTCTCCCCAACTTCGTGTGGTTTTCGAAATGACCAGAGATCTTCTCGGAGATACACGATCGGGGGGGGCCATTCTCGATAGCGATACGTCCGCCAGGCCAAACTGGGGGTGCGTCCCCGATTTGCACGCCTGTTCTGGGCAGCTTGATTTGGGGGCCGAAACCCAGCGAGATCGCCCAGTGTGAAAAAAAATGGCGGCGCCCGGATCCAGGGCCAGCGACGCTAGAGGCCTCCTAGATGGGGTCCGAGTAAATGGGGTCGAAGGATCGCGCCGCATCGCCAATGCATCGCCGATGCATCAGCGATGCGTCGGCGACATCGGCGACGCTTCCGCGACGCCGGCGTGAGGGAACTCGGGCTCTACATCGAGCCGCCTCGTCGATGAATCGGCGAGGAGGAGGAGGAGGAGGCGGAGGAGGAGGAGGAGGAGGAGGAGGAGGGGGAGGAGGAGGAGGATGGGAGGAAGGGGGAGGAGGAGGAGGAGGGAGGAGGAGGAAGGGGGAGGAGGAGGAGGAGGAGGAGGCGGAGTAGGGGAGAAGGAGGAGTAGGGGGAGGAGAGGAGGATGAAGGAGGAGGAGGAGTAGGAGGAGAGAGGAGGAGAGGAGGAGGAGGAGGAGGAGGAGGAGGTAGGGGGAGGAGGCCTGGAGACGTCGACGCGGGCGGGCGGCACGCGGCGCCGCGCCGCGGCGGCTCCTCCTCGCGGGCGTCCGCGCCCGGCCCGCTGGGGCCGCGCCGCTCGCGCCAGAAGAGCAGCATGCGGACGTAGTGGCCGTGGCCGGCGGAGCCCTGCACCCTGCGGCCGCGGCGGGGGCGCCCGGCGGGCTCCCGCGGCGGCGAGCGGAGGGGGGGAGGCTCTCGAGGCTCGAGGTGCGGGGTGCGTGGTTCGGGGTCGGGGCTCGAGGCTCGAGGTGCGGGCTCGAGGCTCCAGGTCTTCGGGCCCCGTCGTCGGTGCTCAGCGGCTCTCCAGCCTCGGGATGCGCTCCAGCGGCTGCGCCTCGCCGAGAGCGTTCCGGGGGTGCCCAGATCGCCCCGAAGGGCCGCAGAGACCGGGGTTATGATCCCAAAGCCAACCTCAGCGGCGCGTCCATGGGGGGAAGGGAGAAGAAGCCGCCGCGCCTTATGGGGAGTTTTCTGCGTCTTCGGGGAAGGCTCAGGAAGCTGCTCAGAAGGCCAGGGGACCTCCGAGCCTTCTGAGAAGGCTTTCTCCTTCTCATTTCCCCCCCCCTGCTCGCCGGGCTTCGGGCCCGGGGGCCCCGACAGCTCGATCCGGCTCGAAAAGCAACGCAGAAAGATGCGGGCTGGGGCTCCGGTCGCGATTTCTCGCTGTGTTGCAGTGTCCGGGGCGGCCAAGAGGGCGGCGACCAAGAGGGGAGTGGGGCCAAAAATGCATGCATGCATGCTTGCATACCTACCTACCTACCTACCTACCTACCTACCTACCTACCTACCTACCTACCTACCTACCTACCTACCTACCTACATACATACATACATACATACATACATACATACATACACGCACACACGCACGCACGCACGCACGCACGCACGCACGCACGCACGCACACACACACACACACAGACAGACAGACAGACAGACAGACAGACAGACAGACAGACATACATACGTACATACATGCATGCATACAGACATGCATGCGTATACACATGCAAAACTACACACATACATGCGTACAGGCATCCATAACATACAAACACAGATACATATACACATGCATGCATGCATACATACATACATACGTGCATACATACACGCGTACCTGCATACATACCTGCATACATACATGCATACATACATGTGAATGCGGAAACGCATGTATCCTTGATGAGCCCATGGCGGTACGATGGCAGCAAAAGAGAGGCATGAGATGACGGTGATGCCTTTTTCACGGGTGGCGGTTCTGGAGGCCCTTACGCAGGGCCCCTGCCACTCCCAGGAACTTGAGGCCCAAGGGTGGCCGGTGTGTTGTGCAGCAACGGCTGAACGCCTGAGCCCGAATGGCTACAGACGTCGGGCAGCTGAGGAGAACACACTTCCTCCTCCTCCTCCTCCTCCTCCTCCTCCTCCTCCTCCTCCCCGCCTCCTCTCCTCCTCCCTCCTCCTCCTCCTCTCCCTCCTCATCCTCCTCCCTCCTCCACCTCCTCCTCACTCCTCCTCCTCCTCCTCCTCCTCCTCCCCTCCTCCTCCTCCTCCTCTCCTCCACCTCCTCCTGCCCCTCACTCCCCTCCGCCTCCTCCTCCTCCTCTTCCTCTCCACCCCTCCTCCTACCTCCTTCCTCCTCCTCCTCACGCCTCCTCCTCCTCCTCCTCCTCCTCCTCCTCCTCCTCCTCCTCTCCTCCTCCCCTCCCCTCCTCCTCCTCCTCCTCCTCCTCCTCCTCCCTCCTCCTCCTCCTCCTCCTCCTCCTCCCTACTCCTCCTCCTCCTCCTCCTAAGCCTCCTCCTCCTCCTCCTCTCCTCCACCTCCTCCTCCTCCTCCCCTCCTTCCATCCTCCCCTCCTCCTCCTCCTCCTCCTCCTCTCCTCCTACCTCCTCCTCTCCTCCTCCTCCTCCTCCTCCTCCGTCCTCCTCCTCCTCCTCCTCCTCTCCTCCTCCTCACTCCTCCTACCTCCACCTTACCTATCCTCCTCCTCCTCCTCCTCCTCCTCTCCCTCTCCGCCTCCTCCTCCTCCCCTCCCCCTCACTCCCTCCTCCTCCTCCCTCCTCCTCCTCCTCCATGTTGGTGCACGGGGGCGCATCTTCGATGAACCCTGACAGCGGTGCGATGGCGGTAAAAGTGGGGCGGGGGATGGCGGTGATGCCTCTGTTGCGGGTGGCGCAGGGCCCCTGCCAATCTCAGGGACTCGATGCCCCCCACGTGCGATGGGAGCGAGACGCCAGGAGGGAGAGGAGAGAGGCGGCGGATCCCGCCCTCCCCGCCCCGACGCCGCGAGCGTGGGAGACTCCTCCTCGTCCTCGTGGGCCCTCCCCTCGGCCTGGACGCCCCCCCTGTGCCCGCGTCCCGCGGGGCGGGCCGCCCTCCCCAGGCCGGCAGCCAGGCAAGTGGGGGCCGCCTGGGCCGAGGGGGGACGCCCACCTCGCCTCGCTCCTCTCCTCCCTGCCCCTTTCGGCGGTGGACGAACCTCCCTTCAGCAAACCGCCCTTTAGCGAAAAGGGCCTGGGACCGAAACCGGCGGACCTGGGCCCGCGAAAATGACGGCCGCGACGCCCCCTCGCGAACCGGAAGCGGCCGATTCGCTACTCGACGTGTCGGGGCAGGAGGTCGATCAAACTCCGGCGGCCGCGGCGCCCTCTCGCGAACCGCAAACGGCCGGTGCGCTGACCGACGTGTCAGGGCAGGAGGTCCACCCCCGACGCTTGCGGCACCACGGCCTCCGCCCCGCCCCCCCGCCCCGCGCACGCGCGCGAGGGGGCAGCGACGGCTCGCGGCCCCGACGCCCGCCCCCCCTCCTCCGCGTGGCCCTCCGCGGCTGGGGCACCCTTCCCCCCCTGGAGCCCTGTGCGCCCGCCCGCGGCGGGAGGCCGAGGGTCCTCACAGGGGCTATGGCTGCTGCAGCCTGCTTTGGCCTTGATCACAAGGAAAGAAAAACATCGAGCACCAGCAAAGCCCCGAAACTGGAGGGTTTTCACACGTCGGACCCTGGGCGGCGATGCTCGTTCGACGCTGTGTCGATACTTGTCTGGGTGCTCGAAATTGGTCCTGGGACTTGGCCCTTAAGTACGATGGGAACAGCACAAACAGAGGGTTTCCGCCGTTGCCCGGTACGGTTGCCCGCGCGAGCTCGCGCGGGCGAGGCGCCCAACGGCGCGCCTGGGACGACAGGCGTGGCGGCGAGGCCCGTGCCCCGACGCGGCCCTGGGGGGCCGAGAGAGGTCGACGCGCGCACTCGGAGAGGCATGGGCTTCAGAGCCCCCACGCGAGCCAGGTGCCCCCGCCCCCCCCGGTCCCAGGGGAACGAGCCATATGGCATAGACAGCATGAATCGGAGGTGCGCCCGGACTTCTCCGGTCGGCGCTGGGGCCCCCGGGGCGCCGCCTCCGGCGCCGCCCCTTGCGCGCTCCGCGCGCCCGGGAGAGAGGTCCGGCGGACCTCCGAGTTTTTGCGTTTATGCCATTTTTCGTTCCCCCATCAGAGCCTCACGCGAGCCAGGTGCCCCCTCCCCTCCAGTCCACCCTCCCCCACCCCCCAGACTTACGCTGCTCCCATCGTGCTTAAGAACCAAGTCCCAGGAACAACTTCGAGCACCCAGACAAGTATCGAAACAGTGTCGAACGAGTATCGCCGCTCAGGGTCCGACACGTGAAAACCCTTCTCTTTCGGTGCTTAATTCTCTTGTGAACAAAGCTAAGACAGGTTGGAACAACATAACCCCAGACCCCCTTCCAAGTCCACCTCCCCACTTCCGTCCGCCTGGCCTCAAGGACTTCTCCAGCAGCTGCGAGAAGCACTCCAGCAGCTGCTCCCAGTAGGGACGCCCCGAGAGGGCGAAGGACCACAGCTCCGCGCTCACCTGTATCAACACGAACAGGCTGACGCTCCAGGACTTGAAGATGACCTGGGCCCGCAGGTGAACTTTTTTCGACGCTTCGACAGTGGGCGGAATGGGGGGGAGGGAGGAGGGTCTGGCTCCAGACCTCTGCTGAGTGCGACTGTTTGCAAGAGTGCGGCCTGTGGGGGAGACACTCCGCCTGCTTGAAACAGGCGCTAAAAACAACCAAAATCTACACGTCGTTGATTTCTAATCGTGGTCATTTCTAATTGTGCTCGTTTCTAAGTGTTCCTGGCCCCCAGACATTGTGACCACAGGGGTGACAGACTTGGTGAGCGGTCGAGCCGCGAGGCTACACATGATATAATAAATGAGGGTCCTCCCAGAAAGGTTGCACGTGTCTGGAATGTCGGCCTGCAAAAGGACCCCGCCGAGTTTCTGAACGAGGCCTGAACGCACTGGCACACATGTTCCAATCGCCAACAACCGTCCACGACAATTGCGAAGCGAACAAGAAGCCAGCAAGACGTCGGAAGCGACCGAGTTTGGCACCTCTCATCCCCATACAAAATGCGCACATAATGTCACGACCACCATCGAGAAGCCACGGCAGTGCACTACCTGAGCAGCGAACCCATCGGTACTCGTGTGGCCTGGTGCCTGCAATCTACTTCCAGCTGCGCGAACGGCCGCCACTCGATGTACGTGCAGGTGCGACCTGGATAGTCGCAGCTCTCCCTCCTAGCTCGAATGCGCGACCTGGCGACCAAGCTCGACATCGGGAGCGACCGGCTGCCCTGGCCGCTCAGCATTGAAAATCGAACGATGTCCCAGCTCCCGTGCCTTCGACTCCCAGTTGCGAATAGCAGAAACTGAATGCACATGCGTCTCGACAAGAGCCACCATATCGTAAGCAGAACTGTTCTGCACGACAAAACCCCAGGACCTGTCTCCCAACCAAGAAATACTGGCATTGAACATCTGCTGACTACGCGGCTCCCCATCCTCGACTGCTGGTCGAGATCCCCCTTCTGAAGCAGCAGCTCGTCAATCGGAGCCCTTGCCCTTGCCCGCGCAGGCCTTGCCATTATGGACTTCGGCTGCTGCCGCAAGCTTGACCTCCGACAGCCGCTTGGCCCCAGCTGCGACCACCTCCGCTTCCGCCTTCGCCGCCGTCTGGTCTGCTTCGCCAAGGCGACCGACGGGGTCCGATGGGGCCGCGCCCGCAACGGTAGGCTCAGCGGGCTCACCTCCCGCTCCAAGGGAGGGAGCTGCGGCGGCCGCTGGGGCACCAGAGCCTCCCGCAGTGGCCTCGTGCGCCACGTCGGCGCGACGCTTCTTGTTCATCCTCTGGGCTATCTCGGCCTTCAGAGTCTCCATCTGCTTCAGTCAAGCGCGCACCTCGGAATCCTTGGCGCGCATCTCTGCCTCCGTCGCCAGGAGCCGTTGCCGAATCTCCTCCAGCCCCTTCCTCTCAGTGTCCTCGCACTCCAACTCGTGCAACGTGTCAAAGAAGTCGCGACCCCACACAACTTTGAACTGCTCCGTCCCATCGCCGTCTTGCCCTGGTGTCGGGGCCTTGGTCGTGGCGCCAGCGCCTGCGCGGCCAACCGCCAAGCACGGGACGCCTCGGCCAACGTCTTGGCCGTTTCCTGCTCCTTGGTGGTGAATCTTTTCCTCTGAGAATCGGGGGAAGATGACAAAGGAATTAAGGTATCGTGATCATTCTGCTCAGTAGTAGAGGATACGGGAAGAGACATCGATGAAACTATAATTAACCGTTAAGCAATTGTACTCAGGAATGATAAGGGAGGAGGCCAGCTGGCCGACGACCGACGACACGCGGCGGCCGAGGGCTGGCGCGCTCCTTTTATATCCTTGAAGCACAAACAGCTGCGGTACGAAGCCGCAGAGTCAAGGAGTGGCAAGGCAGGCAGCGAGAGAAGCAAGTGTAAGAAGAGGCGGAGAGGAGCATATTTACTTGGTGACAACCTCGACGGCCTTCTTGAGTCGTACCAACTTGGCCACCGCTTGGTTGTGCTTGTGATCTGCATCACGAAAAACTCCGTCAGCCCGCCGCAGTAGCTCTACCTCGGAGACGTCGCCCTTGCTATTGGCGGCCTCCGTTTCCAAGCGCTGCGCCTGGGCCGTGAAGGTAGCCCGCAGCTCAGCGTCCTCGGTGGCCTCCGCAGCTCTCTGCTGCAACGTGCTGACCTGCTCCTTCGGCTTGTTTTGTGGCGCCTGGCGCCGACTCCCGCGCTTGCCGCTGCCTGCCCCACTGGCGGGCGACTGGCTGCGCGAGCAGAGGATCCCATTCGGGTGCACGAGAGAGGCCTCCTCCTCCTCATCATCATCATTAAAGCGTACTGCACGACCGCTGCGAGGACGGATCAACGCCACAGTTGCATCGCAGCTGGCACGGATACACGAACAAACCTGCAGAATATCATTGTACTCGCACTACCCACAGCTCTTGCAACGGGCCCGCATGCAAGTGGAAGAAGGCATTCTGGGAAAGAAATGTACTCCTGCACTGGTCGGTGCCGCACCGGTCCTCGGCGGGGGGTGCGGTCACAGTTCCTCAACCGCTTCGGCGAATCTCAGGAGATGGACCCCGCCAAAATGGTTTGGGCCCAAGTGGCTTGAGGAGGAGGAAGGAGGAGGAGGAGGAGGAGGGAGGAGGAGGAGGCGGAGGCGGAGGCGGAGGAGGAGGAGGAGGAGGAGGAGGAGAAGGCGGAGAAGGAGGAGGAGGAGGAAGGAGGAGGCGGAGGAGGAGGAGAGGGCCGGACCTGAGTCCGCGGGCTCACGCGGCCCCCCAGCACCGGCAGCTGGGCGCTCTGCGGCCCAGCGGCGGGGCGCTCGACGCGGCTGCGCTCGCACTGCGGCCAGAGGTTGCGGCGGAAGCCCGAGTAGAGCAGCTTCGCGCCGCGCTGCATCATGGCCAGGTGGATGCTCCGGTGGCAACTCCCCAGGGATCCGACGCCCCGAAGAAAAGCATTGGGAGCAAAGGAGGAGGCGGAGGCGGAGGAGGAGGAAGGAGGTTGAGGAGGCGGAGGAGGAGAAGGAGGACGAGAAGGAGGAGGAGGAGGAGGACTGAAGAGGAGGAGGAGGAAGAAGGAGGAGGAGGAAGGAGGAGGAGGAGGAACTCCCCAGGGAGCCGACGCCCCGAAGAAAAAAACCTTGGGAGCGGGGGGGGGGCTTTGGCCGCCGTCGGCCTCTCCGTGGGGGGGGTACTCGCCGAGCCTCGAGCGAGAGCGTCGGAGAACGGCCCGCGGGGCGCGAGGAGGCCGGCCCTCGGCAGGTGGTCCGGGCCACTGGGGCCCCGATAGGAGAGATCCTAGGGTCGACTTGAGCCCCGAGCCGTATCCGTCTTCAGGCAGGGCCAGGATGGCGATAAACCGCTCCAGAGTGCCGCGTCGGACGAAAGGGGGGGATAGGGAAAGGGGGGTTACGACCTTAGTGGGTCCTGGAAACGACAGGGCCGTTTTTTACCGGTTCCGTTTTGCCGTTTTTTGTCGCCGGTTCCGACGCCGTTTTTGTTACCGGTTCCGTTTTGCCGTTTGTTGACCGGTTCTGGCTCCGGCTCCAATCCTGGAGCCGCTTTTTTGCCGTTTCAGGTCGCCGTTTTTGTTGCCGTTTCCATTTTCAAGGGACATTTTTTGGAAACGGTGAAAAAACGGCCCTGCCGTTTCCGGGGCAGCCGGATGTCTGGGTCATGGCAGCCTCCCATGCCATCTTGCTGGCTCTTGCGGATCGACGCTGGCCGATGCTGATCGACGCCAATCGGCGCTCGTCGGCGCGAAGTCGGCGCGGATCGACACTAAGCCAGCACAGGCTCATCGATTACCAGGCGCTGGCGCACGCCAATGCACTCTACAGACGGACTTGCGAGGACATACCAGGCTCCCATGATCTGCTACCGGTGGATGTGCCAGATGTCGCGCTTGGAGAAGTAGCGATCGCCGATGACGATGACGACCTGGTCCAGCTCGGCCTCCTCTCAGAGGGGAAGGGAGGGACCCCGACTGAGCCGAAGGCGAGGAGGGGACCAGGGTCTAGTCAGAGATTCCCCTCAAAGAGGAACTCCCTGCCCAGACCCCAGCTACAGTAGGGGAACAAACAATGGCAGAAACATGCCAACTCGGAGGTCCGCGCTCGCTGCCAGGAGCTGTCCTGCGGCCTGGACGCTCCGCGCGCCCCCTCGCGGCATCGCCACGTGAGCGCGCCCTCCCCTCCTCCTCCTCCCGCCCCTCCTCCCTCCCTCCTCCTCCTCCTCCTCTTCTCCTCTCTCCTCCTCTCCTCCCCTCCTCCTTCCTCCTCCCTCTGCGGCGCGCGGGGTGCGCGCCGGGGAGGGGGCGCCAGAGCGCCGCCGGGGGGCCCCAGCGCCGATCCGAGAGATCCGCGCGGAGGTCCGAGTTGCTATGTCTGCGTCACTGCTCGCTCCCCTGCTCGTTGCAACAGTCGAGGCGTTGACCTGAGGAGCCCCAAATAAGGAACGAGGCCCCCTGTTTCCCAAAAGCTCAACCTCGATTCCCGATGGAAAACCCAGGAAAGCCCGAGGCAAACTCTGAAACCATCAAGGAGCACCGAGCCCCTCCCCAACGAAAAGGGTCCCTTCTTCAGCGCCCCGACTGTACCTCCCAGGCCCCTCAGTGGAACACACAACGGGAACCCCTTCCGCCAGGTCGGGGGAAGACCATGTTCTCCTCTGGCTGTTTGATGATCTCCGCGTTCTCGCCTCTTTCGGGCATCCGGAAGCTCCAAACCACCCCCAGAGACTCCCCAAACGAAAGGGGTCCCCTCTTCAGCGCCCCGACTGTATACAGCCAGGGAGCTCCTGGACGGCCTGTCGCAGCGGCGGCCCCCGGCGGCGCGCCGTGCCCTCTGCGAGCGGACGGCGTGTCGCTCCGCCCCGCGCTGGCGGGGGGGGGGGGGCTCGGGGAGGCCCGGGGGCCTCGTGCCTGGGCGCCACGGCGCGGGCAGCGTGCCGAAGCGGCGGAGCGGACTGCCTACCCAGACCCCCTCGAGTTATGAAAAAATCACGACGCGAGGTTTTTCATTATTTTCGGCCTCTGGGGGCCCTTACCGGCCCTCGGGACCGTCAAAAAACGACTCAGGACGAAAAACCGGTCCCGGGGAATGGGTCTGGACCTCTGGGGGTCGACGTCATGAAAAATTCATGACGTCGGGGGTCTGGGTACCACGGCCACCCCAACCCAGCCCGAAGACCCGAATTTCGGGGGGGGGGGGTGAGGGTTCCATATATGTGTGTTCTGTGGCCCCGGTAAGCTTCCTGGCCGCTGCAGACGGTGACCCCAGCGGGGTCGGGGCAAATTGTGGCCCTGGCGCCCGCGCGAGCCCCAGGCCAACGCACGCCGCGGTGCTGTCGGGCCCCAGGACCGCTGCAAACCATAGGCCTGGCGGGCCCTGGGGCCGCAGCAAACCATCCATGTGCCCCGCCCCCCCCCCGCCCCCCCACTGGACATGGAGGGCAGATTGAGGCCTTCGGGTTGGATTAGGGGTGGTTTGGTGGGTGGTGGGAAGCGTGGTGGACCAGAGCTGGCGGAGCGGCACGCTGTCCAAGAGCTCCCGGCCGTACGCTCTGCACGCCAGAAATTAGCACGGAAACGTGGGCACGGTGCCCACCAGCCAGTGCGGGCCAAAGCCGACAGCGGCCGCGGTGGGGCAGGCGGACCTCCCATCTCAATGGACCACACACGCCAGGACACCGACAGCGAGTCCTGCTCCAAATTGAAGAGGACGTGCAGTCGGTCTTTGTGCCCATTCTTTCCGTACCTAGTTTCTGGTCGGGAATGTCCCCCCACAGGCGGACTGTGGAGGAAAATATATAGAAAATACTAACAAGTAGTAATAAATAGTAAAATAAGTCCCCTGATGATTTTAAAGCTATTTTTGAATATTCCCCCCTGTAGAGGGACAGGCCCGACTTAAACCTAGTCCGATCGGCCCGATGTATCCTCCTGGGGTTCGGCCAGGGTTTGCGTGCCCCCCGCGATCCTCCTCCCCCACCTCGCACAGCTCCGCCTCCTGCAGGCGGCACGCCGAATGGGGGCACGGGCGAGGGCCCGCGCGGCGTTTCCAAGAAGACACGGGGGGGGGCCTCCTCGGAAGGGCTCGGCCCGGCCCCCTGCGAGACGAAGCTACGAGGTTTTGCTCGAAGGAAGGGGGCGGCCTCAGAGGCGCAGCGCCTCGTCAGAAAGCAGCCCCCTCGCCCCTGCCCCCCTCGGGTGCACCGCCAACCAAGACAAGGCCTCCCACGCCAGGACTCCTGAGTGATGCGGTGAGGGTTTAGGACAAGGCGCACTTGGACAAGGCATCCAGGGTCTGGCAGCCAGTGGAACTCCCATCGTGCCTTGACCGTGGGCATCACCGCCGCCCTCATGAGATGAGGAATCCCAAATGGTCTGAAGCCTCCTGGGCACATTCCTTGACCAACACCCCCACCGTGTGTTCGGGAGCGGCCAAGAGGGGGGTGTCCACGAGGGGCGGGTGCAAATCATGACCGGCGGCAGGTGCGCGGCCCCCGCGGGGGGGGCCAGGGACGCAATTAAATACGAAGCGGCGCCATAAAAATCTAGGGAAACATCATGGCCCCCGCCATGATATCCACCCCCCCCCCAGTCATCACCCCGCTCTTGGCCGCCCCCGACGTGCATGACCCCTGGAGCTCTCGGCCCCACGCCCGGGCCCAGCGTCTCGCCGCGGACTGCCCGCCGATGGGGCCCCCCCGGGGGCCCGACGTGGGCCTCCTCCAGGGGCCCCATGAAGCAGACCCCGCCGCCAGGGCATGCCAAGGGGCGCGGGGCGCCCTCTCGGGACGCCTTGTCCGCCAGCAGGGCCGCGTCCGCGATGGAGCGCAGGATGCTGACGCCGCGCACGGCCGGGGAGAAGACCCCCGGGCGCACGCGGAGGTAGAGCCTCGCGCCCGGGCGGTGGCGGCTCGAGATGCTGAGCACCCCGTTCTCGGGCAGCTCCGCCTCTTGACGGCGGCAGCGAAGAGCAAGAGAAACCAAAGGCGGGTGGGGGAG